ATAATAATAACGATAAATAGGTTTAATTTTGAATCAGATATCTTATTAGATAAATTCGGTGAATTCGGATTAAAAGTCATCAATTTATTGATAAGATAAATTATTCGGATTAAGTGTTTTATCTACATATATTCGGATAAACAGATGATCAGATCTAAGCACTAGCTGAACGACTCGTTATCTTATGATGACACCAATTTCTATGGAATTTATAAATTAAACCAATTTTTTTTTTACCTTAGCAAAAATTATTAGTGTTAGAGTTAAAATTAATCAAAAAATAGTTTATACCAAATTTTACAGAAATTTTTTTTATTTATATTTTAATATTTTTTTGTTATATATGTCGTACGTCAGAATGGAATGATTTAGAATCCATCTAAGGTTGATTCCGTATAAACATATATTGTAATAGAATTCTAAAATGCACCTGAGTCGTTAAAGAATTCAAATTCAAGTTTCAACAAAATAATGTATATGTCGTACGTCAGAATGGAATTATTGTAGATTTAGAATCCATCTTGGTTGATACATAGTAATAGAATTCTAAAATGTGCCTGAGTCGTTAAAAAATTCAAATTCAACCTTAGATCAAAATTATGTATATTCAAAATTCTTTCGTCGGGTACATTGTTTTGGAATTTAAATCACATAAGATAGGATTTATTCATATCACAATTAATTGCAAATTAATTAAATATTAGTGGAATAGCAACTATTCCTACAGGGTATATTTATTTTTACATTTGCAGAGATTTTTGTCTCATGCATTTTTGCAATTGCATTTAATATTACCTACTTGTGAAGAGGATTGTATAATAGATGCTTTTAGAATGCTTATGAGCATTGAAAGAACACTATTTTAATCACGTATTGCAAATGTAATTTTTTGCCAAATAGCGATTTTTCGCATTCCCGATTGTTGTATTTGCTGTATCTTTAAAAGTCTTTACGTAGGGTTTTATGCTGCCTATTTGCCGACTCATTACTAAATATTTGTGAACCCAATTCTTTGAATACATTACGGGTAAAAATGGATAATCTTAATATTCGGTCGTCAGATAGAGAGTTGCAATGAAAAAAAAAAAGAAATTAGTATTTAATCTTGACAATATAGCATGTTTATTACAGTATCGAATTAAAATCATTAAGTTGCTATTAAATTTCTCGTATATAATATCAAACTTAAAATCGACTTAAGTCGCTTTTAAATTTTGGACTACATTTGGAATTCCGTTCAAACCTAAGTGGATTCTAAATCTACAATAATTTCGTTCTGACATACGACATATATAAAACTTTTAATGCAAAATTTCTACATTAGGGTTAGTTTTTAGAGTTAAGGTTTGGAAAAAGTTTCTAAGGGCGTATAATATTTTTATTTGGGATATCTCACACTCATTAACTAACTAGTTTTGAGATAATGTATACAAAATGTGTTTTAGCAAAATTTTTTTTTTATAAAATTAATTTCTTATCCGTGTCGAATTTATCATGTGAATTTATCGAATAAAAGTTACTTGAAATTTTATTACATTTAACTGATATATAAATACGTCGTAAAATAAGCAAATTTCCAATATCAATTTGACTTTAAACACCAGTTGAGCACAAATAATAGAAACCACATTGCTATAAATATTTTTTTAAATATTTACTAAACAAATCATGGCTAAGTTTGACTTTTCATAAATTTCAAATACGATTAAAACCTTAGCCTAAATTTTTTATTGTGGTTTATCCTGCTAATCCTTATAAATATTTATTTTAAAAAAAATATTTATTATTCATATTAAAAATTTATCAAAGATAATTAGAAATGACATCTAGTCTTCATGCTAAAATTCCAATCGTGGAGGCTCCAAATAAAATTTTGGAAATTGTTTGCTCTCCAAACTTGAAACATGTTGCTACATTAGACGAAGATAGCTATATTAGTCTTTTGTCTGTCGTTGGTCAAGAAATACCTTTAATGAAAGTAAAAAAAAAAATATCGGCAATATTTACACAAATATATTTGATGAAAAAATATTTGCTATTTCTGATAATAAATGTGTTTCAATTAGCTTTGATAGAGTCAAACCTTATAATTTCAGTAAGTTATGCATATAATAAATTTATTACTATTTTTGCACGTAAATTAGATTCACTTATTGTATTAATGCATATCTTTCAAGAAATTTTCGATTTTGAAAATGAACAAGAAGTTTTATTAACCTTTCCAGATCGGCAGAAGGAAGTTCACTTCTTATCTTTTATTGATGACGGAAGTATTGTAATGGTTAATGCCTTATATTGCAGAGCATATGCTTTTTCTGGTAAAGGAAAAGATAATATTAGCTGGATTTGTAAATCAATGATTGAGTTGAAATATTTTAACAAAATTTATATTACATGTAAAGGCAAATTGATCTTATTTAATGATACGATTTATGAAATTACAATGAAACATTATCAGTTAAAACTCGTATTTTGATAGATTGGGATTATATAACTGAGCATATTGAAATTAGTGATGATGAAGAATTATTAATAATTTATGCAAGAAATGAGAAAGCTAAGGATGCTAATAAAAAGCACGTGTATACACTTTTTCCATCAAAACTGGAATAAACCTGGCATTCTGTAAGTTTCATATTGAAATGAATAACTGATCATACAAATTTTTTCTTATTAATTTTACTTCTAATTTAATTTTTAGATATTACACAATTGGTAATAGATAAATTTCACTTGATCGCATCCCAAAAGGAGAAAGATTATTATTTATTTCTGGCGATCAATATAATTTAATGGACCCTTATTATCTCACAAATCTAATAGATGCGAGTAACCTTTTTGAAAAGATTGAAGATGGGAAATTCAGGAACCATACATAATTCAGTCAGGGAATATACCAAATTAGGGGAACCGTTAAAGCAGGGTGCCATCACGTGATCTGGCGGTCGTCGGCCTGTCCATCCGGAAGTCGGAGCTATTTTTATTCGATACAATGACCAATCAAATTCAAGGCCAAAATCT